TGACCCTGGTTGGCTCCCAGTCGTCTGGGGGAGGGAATGTATATAAATAGGGAACAGTGATAAACCCCTCCCCGAAGGGGAAGAAGGAGACTGGAAGAGGAAACTCCCTAAACCACCGACGCCCGGAGGGCTGGTGGGATTCTCAGCAGTCCGAGGAAATGTTTTAGACTCCTGAGGAGCCCGTGGATGCCTCAGGAAATCTGCCTAAGGAAATTATCAGGAAATCCACGGGATTCCGGAGGGCTCTTGGTGAAGGCCCGAGGGGGAAGGAGACTCCCAATTTGGGGGGGCCGCCAGGCAGTCTCGCCAGAGGCGGTGGAGCCTTCTGTATCGATCTCAGGCGTGGAGTATCCTCCTGGCGCCTTCACGGGCCGCTCGGAGGCATTATTTAGTCCTACCCATCGGTCGTTGAATGCAAGTACTTCTGGATTTCCAGATCCGAACCTACTTCTAGCGCATTCCTACTTCCAGAATCGGCATGCGTTTGCTGTGTCTTGCTTTTCTCTGGGAGGGCCTGAAACCAACCTACTTTTTGTATCCGCCGTCCTGCTTCATGTTTCGACCTTCTTCTTCTCCCGACCGGTTGGCATCCGTGCTGCGCACGAGGCACTCCACTCCTGCATTCCTACGGATTGGCGCGCGAAGCGCGCCAGGGGCGGCGCCAGAGGCGCCGCCAGGGGGGATCAGCGCCGATCCAAGAAATCCGCGCGGACCTCCGACAATACGTAGCACCCCGCAATTGCGGATAAGAGTGAGGGGGCGGGCGCGGGCGACGCGGGCGTCGTCGAGCCGGCGGACCTCGTGGCCCCCACCTTCCTTGTCGATGGCGCTCTCCTCCACCTCCTCCTCCTCCTCCTCCTTCTCCTCCTCTTCCTCCTCCTTCTCCTCCTCCTCTTCCTCGTCCTCATCGTCATCGTCATCCTCCTCCTCCACCTCGTCCTCCTCCTCCTCCTCCTCTTCTTCCTCGTCCTCCCTCTCCCCCCCTCGTCTTTTCATCATGGTCCTCCCATTGTCGTCCTCCCCCTCATCGGCCTCCATCATCGTCCTCCCATTGTCGTCCATCATCATCATCATCTCCCCCTCCTCCCCCTCCTCGTCCTCCTTCTCCCCCTCCTCCCCCTCCTCCCCCTCGTCCTCCTGCTCCTCCTCCTTTTCTCTCTCCACGTTCTCCTTACATCCTCTCTTCTTCCTCGTTCTCCTCGTCCCCTGTTTACTCATCCTGCCTCCCCCTCCTTTCCCAAGATAACTGCAACGCAATCCTTTTTTCCACTTTATGCTCCCCGCCTTCTCTGATCAAGGCAACTCGCCAGGGCAAAGTTGCTGGACGGGCTGGCGTGGATGTGCGGGGCGTGAAGAGGTCCTTGCGGGCTCAGACGGCATGCAAGAATCCGCCGCCGCGCTTGTGCGGCATTGGTTTGTTCAGTGAACGTGGTTTAGGTCGCGGGTGGGTCGCGGGCTCTCCACCTCCACCTGGAAGGAATGCAAAAGCAGCCCGCCGCAAGCGCCAGAAAAATTGGTTCGTACACGGAACGAGGTTTGGGTCGCGGGTGGGCCGCGGGTTCTCCACAGGGAACGAATGCAAACGATGCCCGCCGCAGGCGCCGAAAATGTGGTTTGTACCCTGAACGTGGTCGCGGGTGGGCCGCGGGCTCTCCACCTGAAACGAATGCAAAATATGCCCGCCGCAGGCGCCAAAAAATGTGGTTTGTACCCTGAACGTGGTCGCGGGTGGGCCGCGGGCTCTCCACCTGAAACGAATGCAAAATATGCCCGCCGCAGGCGCTGAAAAATGTGGTTTGTACCCTGAACGTGGTTTGGGTCGCGGGTTGGTCGCGAGTTGGTCACGGGATGTGTCGCGGGCTCTCCACTTGGAAGGAATGCAAAAAAGCCCGCCGCAGGCGCCGAAAATTGTGGTTTGTACCTTGAAAGTGGTTTGGGTCGAAGGTGGGTCGCGGGTGGGTCGCGGGGTAGGTCGCGGGTGGGTCGCGGGTGGGTCGCGGGTGGGTCGCGGGTGGGTCGCGGGTGGGTCGCGGGGTGGGCCGCGGGGGGGTTGCGGGGTGGGTCGCGGGTTGGGTCGCGGGGTGGGTCGCGGGGTGGGTCGCGGGGTGGGTCGCGGGGTGGGTCGCGGGTGGGTCGCGGGTGGGTCGCGGGTGGATCGCGGGGTGGGTCGCGGGGTGGGTCGCGGGTGGGTCGCGGGGCGGGTTGCGGGTGGGACGACGACAACAAACAACAACAACAACAAACAACAACAGCAACAACAAGAATCCGCACCGCGGAATTCCACATCAGCCACGCACCCAGGGACAGTGAATGACCGGGGAGGTCCAAAGCACGACGGGGTTTTGGAGCTGCTCGCTAGGCTCTCGCAATGACAGGAGGCGCAGCCCGCCTCCTGCCGTCGCCGAGAGGCGGACGAGCTCACCTCTTCGCGCGCCTGGTCGCTCGTCCTGCGCTCCGCCGAACGCGCCGGCCGACATCTCTCGCGTTCGACTTCGTCGGGTGCGCTGCTGGCTCCGGAGGGGAGGGAGGAGAAGGTCGGAGAAGGAGGAGGAGGGACGAGGGCTGAGTCGCGCCTCGCCGACGAGCCGATCCTCCTGCCAGCTGCGACGAAGGATCGGTGCTGTCGACACTCTGCTGGGAGGTTCTGCTCGCACCGGAGCCTGCTGGCTCCGGACCCTCAGCAGCTCGCTGGTGCAAGATCTTTGTCTCGCTTGAGCTGCAACCGCACGCCAAGGCGGTTCGTGTTGACGGCCCGCAAACTTATCTGGTCGAGATCGACCTTGAAATCGTGCCTCGTCAACATCATTATAGTATTGGCCTCGCTGACACCCGCCATGCACTTCTGATATACATCGACTCTGGCGCTTCATTGTAACCGAAATCCTCCCGCAAACCCACCATTGGCAATGCACTTGCTCCACCTTCTGACAAACATCTTTACCCCCAAGGAGCCTATCGGCAGAGCGGTCAGCCTGGACACCTGCATAACGATGTTGAGCACGCCCTTATCAGGAAGCACCTTCACCAGGTACAGCTTCACGTCAATCCGCTCCACCAGGAAGCCCTTCTCCGGGAATATCTTGACCTTCATGCGATTGCTCTTCATAAACAGTTTCGCCTCTGGGGGGGCCTTCACCAGGAAGATATGATTCACCTTGAAGATCTTCACCTGCATCTTCACTCTGACAATTCTTACGACGAACTGCAACTCGAGGAGGCGCTTCACATGCAAGACCTTCACCTTCATACGGGCTCTCTGCGCGATAACCTTCCCCTCTTTAAGGCGTTTTCACCAGGGCACCCTCGACCCAGAAGATGTTCTCCTTCATTAGCCTGGCCCTTCCAAACGTTTGCCTCCAGGAGGCCCCTCGCACTGGCTGTGTGCACGACCAAGTCCAGAGCCAGGAGAGGCCACTCGCCGTGGCGATCTTCGTCGACGCCAGAATGAGCATCACGAGTGTTCTTGCCCGATGCGTCGCCTAGCTGCCGCAGCCCAGCGTCTCAGCGAGCTCGTCGAGTTCCTTCCAGATGCCCCCCGCGCGGGGCGGGTGACTGCCCAGCTGGTCGCCCACGCACCCGACGGCGCGGCCCGGAACAACTTGCACCACGAGTTGACAGGTAGCATTAGGTCGGGCATGTCCCTCTACAGGAGGACGTGATTCAAGAAAAAAAGTCTGGGACGATTGTTCGACTATGTTTTGACTATGTTCGATTTTGTTTTCTTCGACTGGTTTCACTTTTCTTCCAAAATCCGCCTGTGGGGGGACATGCCCGACCTAAGAGTAGCACCAGTATTTTTGCGAGGCAGAGTGGACGCAGCGGGCGGAGGAGGCGGCGGAGCGGAGCGGGCAGACTGCACAGCGTGTGCTGTCGCCAGTGCGCGCTCGCTGCTGCCTCGCGGCGCACGGGGTTCCGCGAAGCGAGCGAGCGACCCCCCCGAGCTTCCTCGGAGTGGAGCTCCGCGTTGGGGCCACGGGTGTGCGCTGTCGGACGGGGGGCCCCCGCTCGAACGGGAGAGCCCCCCTCGGAGTCCGACGGCCCGCGCCCAATACTTCCAGCGCCCTCATCTCCCTGCCCTGCCCCGCGCATCCCCACGACAGGCTTGGGCGTGTGCTGCCCCCTCGCCGCTGCACCAGCTGGCGAGGGCTGGCGCGCGGGTCTCGCCGCCCCGCCGCCTCTCGCCCGCCGCCGCGGGCCGCCGCGCAGCCGCGCAGGCGCGCGACCGGGCGGGCGCCGCAGCCCCTTCGCGGCCCTGCGGGGGCACTGCGGCCCCCCGCACGCCATCGCCTGGAGAAGGCGCTTTGGCGAGGGCCTCCCGAAGCGCGGCGTGCTTGAGCCGAAATGGCTGCGGGGGGTGGGGGGGGGGGGGCACGAGGAGAGGGCGGGGCACCCGAGCAGAAAACCGAGGCGGGCGACGAGCTGACCCGAGTGCGATTCGTGGTGCTCCCCACACCTGAAGGGGAAAGGGCCCACTGTGCAGATTCGGTCGACAGCACACCACTGAGCGGTGCTGCAGTCTTCCCTCAGCACCGCCGCGCACCCCCAGAGCAGCCGCCTGACAGGCCGGGTGTGCGGAGAAAGAGGAGGAGGAGATGAGAGAAAGGGGACGGATAGAAACGAAGGGGTATGACCAAAGAGAAGCAGAAGGAAGAGCGGGGAGAAGGCAGGGAGCAGTAGACGGAGGAAGGAAGCGGAGGAGGAGGAGGATCAGCGAGCACAGCCGGCGCTCAGGGGGCGGGGCCACTTCTTCTTGTTGCGGCGACTTCCATTTTCACCCCCTCCAGCTGCGATGTCAGCTGGGGGGGGGGCAACACCAGGTCATCGGATCTCATGCCATCAGCCCGAGGGGGACGGTGAGGAGGAGGAGGAGGAGGAGGAGGAGGAGGAGGAGGAGGAGGAGGAGGAGGATGAGGAGGTGAGGATGAGGAGGGATGGAGGAGGAGGAGGAGGAGGAGTAGGAGGAGGATGGAGGAGGACGGAGCAGCTAGGAGCTGCCCCAGGCAGCGGCTCCTGACAGACGCCTACGGCAGAGCCGCGGGGATACTCGAGGCGCCCGCGCCTCATTCCACCTGCTGCCACCCGCGGCCGCCAGGCAATATTTGATGTTGCTCATGTTTGCAGGCTTCCGTTACAGATCCCTGATTGAGTAGTAGTAGTAGTAGTAGTAGTAGTAGTAGTAGTAGTAGTAGTAGTAGTAGTAGTAGTAGTAGTAGTAGTAGTAGTCGTAGTAGTAGTAGTAGTAGTAGTAGGAGTAGGAGTAGGAGTAGGAGTAGGAGTAGGAGTAGGAGTAGGAGTAGGAGTAGTAGGAGTAGTAGGAGTAGGAGTAGTAGTAGTAGTAGTAGTAGTAGTAGTCTAGTAGTAGTTAGTAGTAGTAGTAGTAGTAGTAGTAGTAGTCGTAGTAGTAGTAGTAGTAGTAGTAGTAGTAGTAGTAGTAGTAGTCAGTAGTAGAGTCAGTCGTAGTCGTAGTCGTAGTCGTAGTCGTAGTAGTAGTAGTAGTAGTAGTAGTAGTAGTAGTGTAGTAGTAGTAGTAGTAGTAGTAGTAGTAGTAGTAGTAGTAGTAGTAGTAGTAGTAGTAGTAGTAGTAGTAGTAGTAGTAGTAGTAGTAGTAGTAGTAGTAGTAGTAGTAGTCGTAGTAGTAGTAGTAGTAGTAGTAGTAGTAGTAGTAGTAGTAGTAGTAGTAGTAGTAGTAGTAGTAGTAGTAGTAGTAGTGTAGTGGAGTAGTAGTAGTAGTAGTAGTAGTAGTAGTAGTAGTAGTAGTAGTAGTAGTAGTAGTAGTAGTAGTAGTAGCGTAGTCGTCGTAGTAGTAGTAGTAGTAGTAGTAGTAGTAGTAGTAGTAGTAGTCGTAGTAGTAGTAGTAGTAGTAGTAGTAGTAGTAGTAGTAGTAGTAGTAGTAGTAGTAGTAGTAGTAGTAGTAGTAGTAGCAGTAGTAGTAGGTAGTAGTAGTAGTAGTAGTAGCAGTCAGTAGTAGTAGCAAGTATAGTAGTAGTAGTAGTAGTAGTAGTAGTAGTCGTAGTAGTAGTAGTAGTAGTAGTAGTAGTAATAGTAGTAGTAGTAGTAGTAGTAGTAGTAGTGTAGTGGTAGTGGTAGTGGTAGTGGTAGTGGTGGTAGTAGTAGTAGTAGTAGTGTGGTAGTGGTAGTGGTAGTGTTAGTGGTAGTGGTAGTAGTAGTAGTCGTAGTAGTAGTAGTAGCCGTAGTAGTAGTAGTAGTAGTAGCAGCAGTAGGAGTAGTAGTAGTAGTAGTAGTAGTAGTAGAAGTAGTAGTAGTAGTAGTAGTAGGTGCAGTAGTAGTAGTAGTAGTAGAAGTAATAATAGAAGTAGTAGTCGTAGCCGTAGCCGTAGCCGTAGTTGTAGTAGTAGTAGTAGTAGTAGTAGTAGTAGACGTAGTAATGGTAGTAGTCGTAGTTTTAGTGGTAGTAGTCGTCATCGTAGTAGTAGTAGAAGAAGTAGTAGTAGTAGTTGTAGCAGGTGTAGTAGTAGGAGTAGTAGTAGTAGTAGAAGTAATAGTAGAAGTAGTAGTCGTAGTCATAGCCGTAGTTGTAGTAGAAGTAGTAGTAGGAGTAGTAGTAGTAGTAGTAGTAGTAGTAGTGGTAGTGGTAGTGGTAGTGGTAGTAGTATTAGTAGTAGTAGTAGTAGTAGTAGTTGTAGTATTGGTAGTAGTCGTAGTAGTAGTGGTAGTAGTCGTCGTCGTAGTAGTAGTACTACTACTACTAGTCTTCGTAGTAGTAGTAGTAGTAGTAGCAGAAGTAGTCGTAGTACCAGTACTTGTACTAGTACTAGTACTAGTAGTAGTCGTAGTAGTAGCAGTAGTAGTTTTAGTCGTAGTACTAGCACTACTAGTAGAGTAGTAGTAGTAGTAGTAGTCGTCGTCGTCGTCGTCGTCGTCGTCGTAATAGTAGTAGTCGTAGTCGTAGTACTAGTACGAGTACTAGTAGTAGTCGTAGTAGTAGTAGTCGTAGTACTAGTAGTAGTAGTAGTACTACTACTACTACTACTACTAGTAGTAGTAGTAGTAGTAGTGGTATCAGTAGTAGTATCAGTAGTAGTAGTAGTAGTAGTAGTAGTAGTAGTCGTCGCAATGGTAGTCGTAGTAGTAGTCGTAGTAGTGGTAGTAGTAGTAGTAGTAGTAGTAGTAGTAGTAGCAGTAGTAGTAGTGGTAGCAGTAGTAGTAGCAGCAGTAGTGGTGGTGGTGGTGGTGGTGGTACTAGTTGTCGTCGTAGTCGTGTCCGTAGCCATTCTGGCTCAGGACAGCTCAATCTTCGGCCCGCAAGCCAGCTTCCACGGGACTCCGTTGCGCAGCCATGGCTGCAGGTGCCGACATCGACATTTTGCTCGGCACGGCCGGCGCTGGACACCGCGACAACGATGGCATCCGACGTCGCATTGCAGCAAACCGGCAGCAGGCCAGCAACCTGCGGAGCCGGCTCGGCCCGCTGCCGAACATGAACGCGGTTGCGGCGAACTGCGATATGCGCACGTTCGGGCGCACCGTCGATTACAGCGA